TCTTCTTAACCATTAGCTGATCACTTGAACTCCCATGTATCTCCTGTGTGAGGTCCAGAATCACTCCAGGATTGATTTTAATTCCATACCTTCTGAGCCTCTTTCTCCAGGCCCTTTTGCTCTATTCTAATCCATGTCCTATAGAAATACAGGCTCATGTGACAGCATATTAAAGAAGCAAAGAGGGAAGACAACAAAAACATAGATTTACTTTTTTTTTTTCCCCTTCTGGTAGCATGGATAGAATATTAAGCTGACTAGATTTTAATAAAATTGGTAATTAATACGTAACATACCAAGTATTTTAGAACTTACTTATCCCAAGCCACCATTGGAGCAGGTATACCTTAGAAGGGAGAGACTGCAGCCTGTTAAGTACTCACACTGAAGTATTGGACGAGTCGGAAATGAGGAAGGGCAGAGAGAAATCACTACATCCTGACTCATACCCCCTCATGCTGCTCATTGCCTCACTGATGGGACTGAGTGTGACCTGTGGTGATAACAAGGGTGTCAAGAGGAGTCTGGAGGGAAGTTGAGCCTGGGAAAGAAGGAGGGATGTTTTTTCCCTAAGTGTTCTAATGTTTGTCTTTTTTTAAGTTTCCCAATACCCAAATCTGTAATTACTTATGCTAATTGACAATAAATTAAGTTAAATTCCCCAAGTTGAGTTCATTTTGCCCATGACAGTGATTTCCCTATCTTTATCTTATCCTAAAAGCTTACTTGCACCTGTTCTTCCTGGTTTTGCTCCGATCCTGCTGGTGTGGGAATTGAGCAAGCGAGCAGCTGTATGGGTACCTGACTGTTGGCTGGGGTGAACCCACCACTGTCATCTGGACAAGTGTGACAATGAAAGAACTGCCAGGAGAACAGAGCTTATTAAAGTACATTTTTTGATGCTTGGAAGCCATCTACTAGATAGATAAAAAAGACACAAAATCCTTCATAGCTAAATGCTGTATTTGTCATCCGAAACTCAAAGGATGATAATTTTCAACATTTTTAAGACTACAGAATCACAGAATGGTTTGGGTTGGAAAGGATCTCAAAGATCATCTAGTTCCAATCCCCCTGCCATGGGCAGGGACACCTTCCCCTAGACCAGGTTGCTCAACACACAGTATATCACAATCCTGTAAATTACTACCATGGGGAAAATACTCAGCTGAACATGAAAACTTGACTCAAAGGCACAGGGAATTATTAGCTGCTATATGTGCTAGAGACTTCAGCAGTTACTGCACACAAACTTGCACAAGTGCATTCAACTTAGTTGCCTCCCCATTTCAACAGAGTTGAACTATGGCCAAATGCTTCACTAGAGAGGAAGACGTTTTGGTTAATTGCCCTCCCAAGGCATTAACCTTTGAATTATGCAAAACTGGGATATGTCAGAAGATGAAAGCATCCATGACCCATTCTATCTCTTTCATGTTTTTCAGTTTTCCCTCCCAGCAGCACTGTTCAGCATGCACAACCCAGTGCCACAGCTCCCAGCAATGCCCCAGCTGTCCTCACTCACTAGCCCTGGCTGACACAGACCTGACCCAAAGTTCTGTGGTTCATGAAGAGAGATGCAAACCAGTCAAGCCCCAGGAAAAGAAGTTTTCTGCATTTATCACCTCCTATCTCTGGGGCATGTGAGTTTCCTCAGAAATCTTCTGACAAATCTCTAAAAAAGCCTCTGCAGGCTGCCGGCTCCATTGCTGGCCAAGAGCAGGGTCGGACTAACACAAGGAATACTATGAACATGAACAAAGGCCACTTAGTGAGGCAGCACCCCTCCAGCCTAGAAACCACACCAGGCTCCTCTCCAAAACAATTTCAAGGGACTCTCAAAGACCCAAACCCTGCCCTCTCACAAAACCAGGCCCAAAATGAAAGTTTGTCTCCTGCCAGGGAGTCCTTCAAGCACCCTGAAACCCCACAAGCCAAGAGGGAAGGACCAAGGCTTCTGTGGTACCAAAACTCTAGCTTTACCTTTTCCTCAAAATCAGCAGCTTTTCAGAAAAATGAAGACTCCAAAAAAATTAGTGCTGTAATGGCACTAATGTAACAGGGTCACTGGTGGAACAGCTATAAGATTGGTGAAGTATAGGGGGACAGGGAAATCCAACTACCAGTAAAAAAAATAAAAATCAGCAGGTCCTTTCTGTGCTTTGAATGGACAAATGTTTATTTTCCTGGACAACTGAACTATTTTGAAATTGTACATATTCCTTAAATCTGTGCTTTAAGCAAATTAAAAACCGCATTTGAAAACTATTTCCTAGATATTGAACTCAATATCCTGAGCCTAAGGAGGTGAACTTACCAGCAACAAAAAAACTACGACTGGGCTATTTAGCTTCACCTCAGTAGCCACAAACTAGACAAGAAGCAGTTTCAGTGTTAAGAGCTGAAGAATGAATATTGCCAGTATTTCTTTTGCAGATAAAATGAAATATGTAATGTGGTTCATACATTTTTTGAGATGCAGTTTTTAAAAAAAGATTCCATTCAAAATCCAAGACTTTTTACTTCATTACACATAAAAGATACAAATTTCTTCAGCTGCTCTGTTAAATTCTTAACACACATTTTCAAGTTTGGGGAAAAATCCAAATCCGATGCGGAGGTTTCATTATGTTTTCTTCTTCTTGTTAAACTAAAACCAATAAATAATAAACACATCCTGCCTTTAGCTGCCTGCAACACTGCATTTAAAAAAAACTTGGTAATGACTCTGTGCTTCTGGATTTGTATAGCGGATTTGTATAGCAGATTTATCTCTGCCACTGATTGGAACAGATCCTGAAGCACCTGTCACTTCCATACCACCAGTTAGTTCCAGATGCACTTTATTCGGATTAATTTTTTAAATGAATTTTTCTTTTATATATATATATACACACATGTATTTCATATATAATATAGATGTATTTCATTATATGTAAAAATTAGTATTTCTTGCTTTATACATCTGTAAAATATATTATCAGAGTGACCGATTAAAACTCAGTGCAGCCCCAAGCCTGTCTTGATGTTTCTTAAGATCCTGTGTAGAGGTCTCTCTGCATTTATCTCTGATTTGTGATTATCCTCACCTGTAGCTCCTTTCTTCACATCCCATTTCTGTTCCTGTCATGATTTGGCTACTACCTCTGACATCTGATAAGCCAGCAGATCTGTTTCAATATGTCCTTTCTGGATTACTGGGACAAAATCTCACCTAACTTCAAATATCTAGGGCAGAGAGATTTATGCTGATCACTGCCAGCTCCCTGGTAGAGACCCACTCCTCTGGCTGTCTGTGTGCCACTGACAAGGCAGAGAGCCCAAGATGACCTAGTTCAGATGGAGACATACAAATTGGTGAGGTAAATTCCGCTGTCTGTGTTAGATCTTTATTAATCACCTGCTATTAATATGTTCAAGATCACAAAAATGTACATTTTGACAATTTATCACTTTCAGCTGTAATGTTTTTGTATTTCTATTCATAAATAATATGCAAATAATTAAAAAGCCCACTATAAAAATACATATTTTTTGTATGTCTGCTTGCACCAAAACAAGAATAAAATATAGACAAGTTTATTGATAGCTGTAAATGTTACTGTTGATGCAAAATAGACAGCAATATTCTACACTCAAGCATTATAACATTTCCCCATGCAGAGCAGAACCAAATCTAAAGTAATAAAATTATTTCATTCAGTGAAAAAGAGTTCCTTTTAATAAATAAAGTATTTGCTATGCAAGTTTTGATGAGATGAAATTATTACAGCTATCAAACCTTTTTAATTAAAAGCTACAAGTTACTGAGCAAAACTGAACTCAGAAACACTTCCAGGAAACAAAACTGCTACAATACAGAACTTAAGTGTTTGTGTTTATAAATATATATACATATACATACAAATAAAAGGAGTGTAAGGGATAAAATTTCTTTCCTTTACACAAAGGAACTGAGTATTCTCCATTGACTCCAAGCATTACATTTATATACCTCATGCAACTGCTTTAGCTCCTGCAGGCCCTGCTCACATTTTTATTACTGGTTAGCATTTTCTCCTGAAGGAATTGAAAAACAAACCTGCCTGTCCTCATATCTCCAGGATAAGGAAAGGAGAGGCTTTGTTTCTTAATTAATCCTGTTTTCTTCAATACAACCGTATGCCTACGGCACTGTAAGCTTTTCACAAATATTTTGCGAGATCTAAGATTTCTTCAAATTAAGGTCCCTTATTTTGAAATAATCAAAACACAATTGATTCTTTTAGAAAACAAAACTGAGCAAAATGTTCCATGTAGTAAGGTAAATTTCATTTAGTTGTCCCAGACAGAATTCTTCAAACATGGAGATCTAAATAAGTGATAGCAATCTTAACCAAGGAGTTTAATACATACTCAGAGGATAAAACATGTATGCAACACTACTGAATTCACATAATGCATAGAAAACGAATATTTTCTAAAAATGCAGTGTTTGTGAATGTATTCCATGCACAGTTTTCTCAGATGAATTGCAAAGGAAATCTTGGCAGGTAATGTTGGAATCATCCCTTAAAGGATTTACAAGTCAACAAAAACCACACGCAGCTACTGGTCTAACTCTGTTGCCTGTGACTGATTAGTAGTGGCCTTTTTAGCTTTGAGAAAGCTACGTACTTTCCTCACTTATAAAGCGATCTTCCATCCATCTGGCACAGTATTCTTGTTGATTTCCCCTGTGTAAAAGTTCTTCACCTTCAGATATCACTGCTGGGTGCAGACAGCTTAATTTCTCATGCCTGAAGTAAGTACAGCCTGCAGCTGCTTGCTCTGCCCATCCCTGGAGAGAGGCACTCCAGCAACAAGGGAAGCCAAGTGAGATTTGAAGCAGCTACACAAAGGCCCCAGTTTACGTCCTCCCATGCCAGGTAGCCCCAAGTCAATACAACTTAAATACCTCGGAGTATAAACTGTGGGACTCCAAGAGTTGCTTCCTCTGTGATTCATCCTCCCTAGCTAGAGATAGACAGGCAGTAGGGAAAGGCAGTCTCTGCTTTAGGCACTTGAGTTTAACCCATCCAGAGTAAACCCTTAAGCCAGTAATCGAAAATCCAGCATTACCTTTGCTTTCTTTGTCAGGCAGTCCAATTTTTTTTTGTCTGACAACCCTCAAATGCGACTTTTTTTTCCCCCAGACACTATAGCAATATGTTTTACGGTTTTTATGTCTGACTGCTGGTGAACTGATCTGCAATGGGAAAGCAAAATGTTTACACAATAAACCCACAAATCATTCTGTAATCATTAACGAGCATTCTCAAGATTTTACTGCTAATGATTAGAAACCTAATTCACTGGAAGTGGTCACTCACTATATTTTACAAAGGAAAAACAAGTCACTGGTCCTTCACGTTCTGAACAGGGGGATGTGATAGTAGTGGTCATCCTCAGTCAGGAGAGAAATCTCATTCCATTCCCTTCGGTATTCATCTGGATAGTTTACTTGAAATTCCTCAGTATTAAACCTATGCAGTCTGTAAACTCTTATCTTTACTTCAAGTACATATCCAAGAAGAAACAGTTCAACCTAAAAATGAAAGACATATGTAAGACATTTATTTCTAGATGTAGAAAACTAAACTCATGATAATCCAAGTTAGGGCAAGTCATTTAGCTTCAAAACAGTAGACAAGGAATAAAAGGGGCCCTTTTGCAAGAGGAGTAAGAAAAAAGTTTGAAGGTATTCTCAACAGTCCTTCTACTGCTCTTTTGCATGCAGAAGATATTCTGGTTAATGCTTGACACTTTGGAAACATCCCTCCTCCACCTGATAGGATACATAACCTGCTCCCAAAGCCAGCTCACACAGCGTAGCAGGGAGCAAGAAAGGACTAGCTATTATCAAAAAATTGATAGACCTTGCGAAATGGGAAGTCTGCCACCTTGTGATCACTTGCTACATAAGGAAAATATAACAGCAAAGGGAAAAAATTTCCTTGTACTTCACATATATGAAACTTGAGAACTGGCATCTTCATTGACACTTCTTGCAAAGGATTGCTTAGTCTGGTGAAATGCTTTGGGAAAAGTCCATTTCCTTGGGCAAAGACAGACAGAGCAGAACTTGTCCAGTTATAATCAAACAGCTCCTAAAGATGACTGTGTCATGTAACAGTTGACTCGATAACTGAAATTGATTGTAAAAAGTAATTGCAGCCATTGGAAAGGGAAACTACTTGCAGACTGGCAGCATGGACCTTAGATGTCAGTACTTAACTCCTCACTAAATATAAAATAGGAAGCAAAAACCTTAACATATTTCTATGTTAAAGTTCATATTTATATGAACAGTAGAGTTCACATTATGTACTTTTAACAGACATTAGATCTCATGGGAACCAAAGAATGGGGAAAAAACAGAGGGATGCTACAGAGTTTGGCATAGTGGAACAGATAGGAAAAGTAAAACAACAGGTCAAAACTGCATAATCTAAAATTGTTTTATATATCAAAGGTATTATTTTTCTAAACTATGTCTTACTGACAGCCCGCAGCATTTATTTTTGTCCCAGCAAGAAAACTGTCCACTCTTAATATGTTTTCTTTCCTAGAAAATAAATGGCTATCCTCAGTCCACTTCCCTGCATCCCAAAGAAGAAAATGGGCCAGCTATCATGGATGATGTATAATTAAATTATCTAATCACATCAAAGATGGAATAAGTTTTGTGATTTATATTTCATTTGTATCCTTACCTGGTCTAGGCAAATAGAGTCACCTATGGAGTTCAGATGATTCATCATGAAACTCAGAGGGTCAGATGAAGTATCACGAGCAAAAAGAAGGCTAAAAAGATTATGTACAGGTTCTTCCCTGTTCTTTATCTGCTCATAGGCTTCAACAACTTCATAGAGCATGATGAACTTTATGGCCTCAAATAGTTTGTGTTCCTTGCTTTCATCAGAAAAGAGTGTATTACACATGTTTCTTCTTTTTTCATGATCTTTAGTAGCACTTATTTCAGCCCACTGGAAAGCACACAGAAGAATATTAATGAAATTATTAAGAAATCTATTTAACACAAAAGATTGCAAAACAGGAAGAGATACCTTTTCTAAGCATAAAGCACTTATTAACCAGCACAGCTCAGGCACAACAGCATTTGCAGGCAGCAACCCACAAGATGACCAAGGCCAATCGTATGAGGTTCAACAAAGCCAAGTGCTGGTTCCTGCTCGTGGGTCACAGCAACCCCAGACAGCACTACAGGCTTGGGAAAGAGTGGCTGTGAAGTTATTCAGTGGAAAAAGACCTGAGGGTGCTGGTCAACAGCTGACTGAGCGTGAGCCAGCAGTGTGACTAGGTGGCCAAGAAGGCCAATGGCATCCTGGCTGTATCAGGAATAACCTGGCCAGCAGGATCAGTGATCGTCCCCCTGTACTCAGCACTGGTGAGGCCACACCTTGAAAACCTGGAGAAGACGAGGCTCAAGGAGAGACCTTGTCACTCTTTACAACTACCTGAGAGGAGGCTGTAGCGAGGTAGGGGTTAGTCTCTTCTCCCAACTAATGTGATAGAACAAGAGGAAAAGGCCTCAAGTTGTGCCAGGCAAAGTTTAGATTGGATATTATGAAATAATTCTTCATCAAAAGGGTTGTCAGGCATTGAAAGAGGCTGTCCAGGGAAGTAATTGAGTCAGTGTCCCTGGAGATATTTAAAATATGTGTAAATATGGGACCTGGGGACATGGTTTAGCACTGGTTTAATGGCTGGACTTGATAACAGAATCATAGAATCAACTGGGTTGGAAAAGACCTCTGCGATCATCAAGTCCAACCCTTGATCCAACACTGCCATGGTTACTAGACCATGGCACTAAGTGCCACATCCAGTCTCATCTTAAAAACCTCCAGGGACGATGAATCCACCACCTACCTGGGCAGCCCATTCCAATGTCTGATTACTCTCTCTGTAAAAAGATTTTTCCTAATATTCAACTTAAACCACCCCTGGCACAGCTTAAGACTGTGCCCTCTTGTCCTACTGCTGGTTGCCTGGGAGAAGAGACCAATGCCCACCTGGCTACAACCTCCTTTCAGGTAGTTGCAAAGAGTGAATGATCTTAAAGGTCCTTTCCAACCTAAATGACTCTATGATTCTATGACAATGAAAATTCTGTGGCAATGGGAAAGAAAGCAGAGACTCCTCCTAGTGAAAATAGGCAAAAATCCATCTCACTGGCCAAACACCATCTTTATAAAAATAAAATGAAGTTGGGAGCTAGACCTCATTCCCAGCAACAGCATAATGCATCACAGAGCTGCTCTGAAACAATTTGTTAATTGTAAGGATTTATTCATTCTGTTGCCTTGAAACTTTTTTCTTTAAGAAAATCCAATTTAAATGCAAAGGAAATACAATAGTTGGAGAAGAAAATGCACCATGTGTTTGCTCCTTCCCATTTGGGGAGGTAATCCAGAAGTATCTCATACAGCATGTTTATTTTTAATCAAAATGATGAAATATTGCACTTGATGGCAAGGACTAGCCACATAGCACAGCTGTGGGGAGGATGGCCTCCCTAACTTGCAGAGGACTTTTGAGTACTCAGCCTAGTGGATCCCCAAAAGCTGGATTCCCCTGCAGGAGAGGTGATGGCCTTCCCAAGTAGCTCAGCAGTCTGAACCTGGGAGAGAGGCTGACTGCCACAGAAATATGTAACCAGAAGCAGTTCTCTAACTCTGTCTCAAACCATTCCTCAGGGCTTTTATTCCTCCCAGCCATTTCCTAAATACTCACATTTGTCTTTAATGCCTCCATACATTTGCGCAATTTCCCAAAGGCATTGGGACCTGTGTATCTTTCTGGCCCAAAACTGTATTGCTGAATCCAGTTACAACCTTGAGAATACAAAAGCTTTTCAGGAAGCTGGGAAAAAACAAAAGGCAAGCTAATCATAATCATAACAAGAAGAAGAATAAAAAGTTATATAAACTTGTCTACATACAATTTACGATGTGGTTCTATCATCTAGTTGTAAAAAAATCAGCCTCATAACTCAACTGCTATGAAGGAGGATCCATTTGACTGCCAAGTCCTTAAGAAACTTTTAAAACAGGGCCAGTCAAAAAAAGATGAAAATATGCTCTCAGCAAAATATATAACCCACACTCTGGAAAAGCTGGGTATTTCCAAATTCAGTGAGGTACTTAAGATTACAGACACCTTCCAGGCTGCACATGCATCTCTACAGGCAGCAGCAACAGCTCCCACCTCCTTGCCGCTATCTGGAGCCCAGGGCAGGATTTCTGCTGCTCCAGCAACATAGCAGTTCCCAAGTAATCAACTGGACTTTGCATGGATGTGGATGACGAGGATTCAAATATCCTGTTGTGTTAAGGGAGTGATATCTGTCAGGGTGGCAGTTAAATTTATCCATCCACTTTTTCTTATCTTTCCTTTTTTTTTTTTGTTTTTAATATAATTTATTAATATCATTATTTATATATATATTTTTAATATAATTATTAATATCATGTTCACATAGGTATGCTTATATCATGGACAGTTTTTCAGTTAAGTAGTTAAATGGGTTTGAAAACCTTCTCTTTAAATTCTGATAATGATTCTCTACTTCGACAGCCAACACATCAGTTTCCACACTGAACAAAGCTTCCTTCTGCTGTGCAAGGATAGCTGAATTGTGTTCATTTAGAACATGAATTTTACCTTCAATATATCTCTTTCCTTCATCCATGAAGGAAAAGGAATGCCTTGGCTGAATATCTGAAAAAGCACCGCTCTTACTGCACTATAGTTGTCTCTCCTGACTTGTCTCAAGTATTTGATATGACAGCTCCAAAACAATTCTTCATAAGCCTAGGAAAAGAAAAAAAAATAGCAATAAAAAATTTTAAATCTTGGACAAAACCCATGTTGTTTGTAGTCCAGTTCCAAACTACTCATAAGAGAGGGCTAGGAAAATAAGAGAGTATATTTTTTAAGTTTTATATACACAAAAGTGTTACACCATTGTGGTTTTTGCAAACACCCTAAACTGGCACTGCCCCTTAAGAGTGACTCTGCACTCTGTAAAAACCCAGGGACTTGTTCAAGTCTCTGCACTGTTGCTAGCGTAAACATTCACATGGTCAACCAAATTACAGCACATCAGCAAAGATTTCTGTGGCATAATAGCTTTAACCTCAGCCACTTCGCAACTTGCACTGACACATGAGATGCAGCAGCAAAAAGGCAGAAACAGGTACCTGGAGAAAACTCCTTTTGGCAAAAACATCTCCTTACACTGACCTGAATCCATTGTGCAATGGTGACCTGAGGCTGAGCAGATCTGGCAGCTCTGTGCTGAAGTGGGTAGCCCTTGTTCCAGCTACACACTCCCTGCACTTCCTCTGCATTATCTCTGGCTCCTATCTGAGCCCTTGTTGAGACAATTTGGAGCAATAAACTTGCAGAAAATCAGGAAGAGTCCCACAGGCCGCTGCATCACCCTTACAGTTTGCTTCCTGAAGGGGGCAGCAGGATGCTCTCAATCCCTGGTCCTCTTTCATCTCTGTTCCTTCCTCACCCCATCCCATCACCACTTCTCAGCTGCATTGTCTCCCCTAACTCTTACTTTATCAGCTGTGATAATAAGCCTACTGAAATCTTCCTGCTGCTTCAGCAAGCTTGGGGGGCTCTGAGAAGGCTCCTGCTGGATGACCTGCTCTATCAGCTCACCATCAGGGTGGACCACATCCTAGAGAAGACGTGAGAGCCAGCACAAAAGAGGGGGAGGCACTGCTTAGCTAGAACTAGGTGAGAAAGCAGAGACAACACAAACACGGGACTGGCCCTTTTGGGAACAGCAAGCATGTTACGCTAGTTAAGGATCTCACAAAACCTCATCCTAAGATGTGCTCCTTACAGTGACAACTTCTCCCTGATATAACCGGCCATCCATTGGCTGCTCCATATATAGGAGTTTTCTTTTCAACTCTTATCATCTAGAAGGCTCATGGATTTTCTGAAAGGCCTTTTTGCCCAGTATGTGCTTGCAAATTTATTAGAAGTTTTGCTATCTTTTTGTTACTTGTTCCTCCAAATAGTTTTTGGCCTTCTGTGTTGTTCTGTGAACTTCTGGCATTGCTGCGTTCTTGCATTTAACGTGGCAAAGTTGGATCTTTTCTCTGTTCATCAAATGAACACAACTCCAGCTTTCTGAAAACTCTCTTCTTTTTTCTATAATTCCCTTATGCTGCTGTTTAGCCTTATCAGCTTCTTTTTACCCTATGTCCTTCTTGGTATGCATTTGCTCTGTGATTCGAATACCATGACCTAGAGCTACACACATGCCAAATACACTGGTGCACTTAAGCTGTGTGTGTCTTGCTTGCAGCACCTTCTGTAGGCAAAGATGCCGGCACGAACCTGGAGCAGAGGGATGGTGTGCAGAGGCATGGGATGTCCATTGCCCAGCACACTGGCTCCATGCCTGCTGGGCACCACCCAAGCCGGCACAGGTCACATGCAAGCTCCTGCCCTGCCTGCCTCCAGCTGCAGCTGATGGCGCCGGGGACAAGGGGCCTTGGCGGCTGCTGGGAAGGCTGCTAAGCACTGGCTGCTGTCACATGGACCTTCAGAGCTTTGAAGAGAACTGGATTTGATGCTTCATTCCTCCCTGCAGTGAGAGGTTTTACTTTAAATCAAAGGCTGGCCAAGTGACAGCACCTAAGACCAAATTATCTGGGCGTTAGCACTGGGGATGATTTTCCTTAAGGGCGCTGTGTGTGTTGCTGGTGCTAGAGGGGAGAATTCAGAGAATATGCAAAACTAAAACTTCATCAACATTTTGGCCCATACTGTTGCAACCTTTATTTAGACCCATGTTCATGCTGCCCTTTTTGCTTTTCATTTGATAAGCCAGTGTAGCAGGCTCTGGCAGCTGCTGCAGCTGGTTGCACTGGGAGTGCTATTCCTTTCCCAGGTACTAGTTCTCCCTCGTCCTCATGCAGCGATTAAAATTTAATTCTTACCTCCCTCATGTGTTTGGCCTGCTTTGTTTCTCCTTTCCATTCTCTCGCACTATAACCAAGTAGATCAACTTCTGTCAGCACACTGAGATTCCCTAAATTGAGATTGATTCATAGATTAGTTACCTTCTACTGTTCTACATCTAAAGGGAAGAGTTGCAGGGGGATTAATGAATGTGGTATGACAACAAAAAGATTACTTATGAGTTTTCTCTGAAGGTAGTTGCTCCACCTGAAATACAAATGATAAAACAGGTGTCAATGAGAAGGTGTAAGAGGTCAGTATTTACTGAAATAAGCAACAGCAGAAAAGATTGAAGTCTGCTGAATAAAAACCTACCATTTCAGTAGCTGTGCTAAAAAGCTGTATAGCCTTCTACAATACCAAAAAACAGCAGCAAGGAAAGACATGCTTAGCATTAGCTGCTCTTTCACTTTTTGCCACATGAAACACAAGGATTCCTTGGTAGCTGTTGTCCAGGACCACACCTCATGCCTTCCTAAAAGAGACATAAAAAGAGAGGAAAAAATCTTATCACTATTTTGAAATACTTGTTTTTATTTGTTTTCTTACAAAGAGAAAAATCATCCAAGTATGATACCACTCCAAATGAAATACAAAACGTGACATGTAAAAGAAGACTATATTTTAGTTAATACATATACATATACTTTATATACTTAGTTTTTCAAGTTTCTAGGGGTTTGAGTGCACATAGTTCACATTTCCAAGCTTTCCTCTACACAGTGGATATAACTATATATATATATATATATAGTTACTGTATTGTAACTATATATATAGTTACAATGGAGTCACAGGAAGACTGGTATCCAAGCAACTGTTCAATAAAACAAAAAAAACCCCAAAAACCAATGAAACAAAAAAAAATAATTTTTTTTTTTTACTTCAGGATGACCTGTACTGTCATTACTTTATCTCTTAAGTCATGGCTTTAAAGACCAGGAGTTCCTAGGACTTACTTGTAGTTGACAAGTGGGCCATATAAGGCAATATTAGCTGACTGAGCATCATACAACTGCCTGGGGAATTAAAGGAATGTTCCTGCCTCAATTTGGGTAAGTTTAGGGTCAATTTAAAACTCCCTAGGGATTTGGTAGAAAGCTCAGGAGATCATCACAAAGGGGGTGCACTCTCGCTGTTCTTACAGACATAAATGAGGACACGGTTCTGTCATGCCGTTGGCATTACAGACAGGGTTAGGAAAGGTTATGGTTGTCTGTTGTTGATAAGAAGACCTACAACTGAGAGAGGGCCTCGGGACTGAATAGTTGTCAAAGGCAGCATCTGCTCCCTAAGTGAGAAATTCGTCCTCTGGATGAAATTTGAGTATAGGAAATTCCCAGAGTTTATGATCAACAGCTGCTCTGTTATTATGTCTTTAGTAGAAAACTTTATGAGAGCTCAACTTTTTATAAAGACATCCCCAGAGAGGGCTGTAAAGATCCTTCTACAGAGAGTCCACAGAGGGAATTACTCATTCAGCATAGTTTTATGTCAGCTGAACTTCTGCCCCTCCTGGCTTTAACAGGAAATTTAAGAGGAGCTTAAGTTTTCCAAGAAAGTTAAACCCATGCACTGTTGACAACTATCCAGTCAAAGAGTTACATACGAATCCCAACCTTGGCAACGAGATAAACAGCAACATACGCATTTCACAAGCACTGTTGCATATATACAGAGCACTGCTGATATTTAGCTTTTCCAAATATTCTGTTGTTTGAAGAAGTTTTATTACAGGATGCCGTATGCAAGTCATCCAGCGGCAAGAGACAGACCTCATCTCTCCCATGAATAAAAGGCAGGTTAAGAGCTGTAAATGAAAAGGTGTTAATAAACTTTAAAAAGCTAATTCGAGATGGGGTTGGGCTGCTAGTTCCCATTTACACAAAAACTGTGTGCTGTGAACATGCAAGATGAGAGACAGGTCTTCTCTTAGCTTCTGCTCATAGGTTGCACCAAAGTGTGCATGTGTAGCATGACCGGGAGTTCTCCCTGCACACGCTGAGGAGTAAAAAGCAGGAAATGCATTCATGAACAACCAAGAAGATCAAAAACCTGAAGCCCCAGGAAATGTTTATTACTGATGCCAAGTAACGGACAGCAAAACATCAGTTGTAAGGTTTGGAAATGGAAAACCTCATGGAAACACTGGGACACTCCCACTTAATGCTAAAAGACCCATATACACACACTCACACATCTTACTAGGGACACTAGTAAGTACATTGTCAATAAGCACACAAATTTCTACATAGAGAGCAACAGCCGAGAATTAGTAACAGATGACAGTATCAGCAGAATCAAGCCATCACAATTTTTTCTCTCTCTTTTTTAGAATAAAGACATCAGTATTGAAAAACCTCAGGGGACTCTGAATAACTGAACCTTCTGTCAACTAGAATGGAACTTGACGGCTTACAAACATTCAGCCCATGGATCAGTGGGTATTCTGGATTTACACTATTGTATACAAAACAGTGATATTTAAAATTAAATTTGTTAACACCAATTTAAACATACAATACCAAAAGGAAGATACTTTCATTTCGTTACTTAAAATGACTGTATGGTTCACTCCCAATTTTGATTTTGAACAAACTGGGTCTATAAAAAGCAAGAGCTGGTTCATCTGTTAAAATGATATACTTTGCTTTATGGAGTACCAAGAAATACATGGGAATGCAAAATATCTTCCTTTACACCTTTTACAGGCAGAAAGATGAGAGGTTTGTATCAGCTTTTAAACTGAATCAAGCAATCTTTTGAAAAAGCTTTTGATGGTAATAATCCTAAAAAAAAGTACTGGAGTTCAACAAGCCCCCTTTTCAATGCATATGGTTAGCAGGTGCATGAGCAACTGCCCTTCAAAGAGTGCTGGGAAGCACTGGCTTACTCATTCCCATCAAAACAACAAATCCATGTCAGAGAACATGAGATAATCAAATATTGTTCACCCCTTTTTATTTAATACGGGGAATTTATAAATAGGTATTACTCTAATAGAAAGCCTAATGGGAGATGGGAAAACCAGCAAACAAGTGACTTTGAGTATTTTTGCTACACTTGTATTACAGCATACCCTGGACTTCATAAACTTTCCCTCCTGTCATGGGAAAGCTGCTGTTCAAACAGCACTTTGTGATTCAGTTACTACTTCTGGTGCTTATGTCACACTTAGAAATGTAATTACATTTTTTATTCAAGTAAATGACATTTAGAAATGGCAGTTGGATTGTGAAGTGTTGCTGGTAAAAATACATCATGAACATAAATTAAAGAAGGCAGCAGTTTAAAATAGATATTTCCACCCCCTCCCAGCCCTCTCAGAAACTGAAGAGCAATTAAATTAATAACACACTGGTGGGGGGAGTGAAATAGGTTCACAGATTTTTAAATCCATTCCCTGTGATATGGACGCAATTCATCCTGTTCCTCAGGAGGCCAGTGCTGCCACCAGCTCCTGGGCTCACATTTTTTTGAAGACTGACCATGAGCATCACCTTGAAGACAGGGAGGCCTGACTCTTCTCCCATGCATAAATTTGGATGAACAGAGGCTGAACAGAGCTGGATTAGGAGCCGATAGCAGTGTTTATCTTACAATGCAAGTAGTACATTGTGTTTTCTTTTCATGCCACATAAGCTTCCTGCTAATGCCAAACCTTAAGCTTTTACCACCCACAAAGTCAGCAGGAGAGACACGCAGTAGAACAAAACCAACAAAAAAGGCCAGAAAAAAAAGACAGTAAGAGATATCTGCAACACCTGCTTCTTTCTCAAGTAAGTCAGTCTCTAAAAGACTTGCTTCACATTTGACTCCCTCACGTTTTTGGAGGCTGCCATCTTAAAAATGCATAATTCATGAAATGCAAAATATAAGAGATCATCTTGGGAACTAGCAGACTGCACTGTATGCATTACTGAAGCACAATCCAATATTCCAGCATGTCTGATGGCACATTCACTATTTTACTTTTTTCCTCCATCCCTGTAACAAGATCATCAGAAAGACAACAGTCTTCCCAAATTTGAACCTGACAGTGTGATTTCTGTTCAGGACATTCCTCTTCACCGTCTTTTTGGAACTGAAACTAGGCCATAGTACTTGTCACCATAAAGTGACCAAATTTCATACTCCCATCACACAACACAATGTTCCTAGCTCCCAAAACCAGGTATCCCCTCATTCAGAGAGAGAGACAGAATGTATGACCCCTGTGTTCTAACCCTTCTGCTGCCCACCTGTACCCTCCTTCTTCCTCTTCTGTTGGATCCAGAGCTAGGAAGAGAGACTCCTCAACTGAGAGATGCAAGGCTTGGCATGGAGTCCAAGTCTGCCTTTGTTCACTGTGTGCCTGCAGAGTTCTCTTCACAGTTGCATATTGCTTTTTTCCAGATTATATACTATCAGTACTGAGGTACGTTATAGAACAGGCTAAGTCCCTCTTTTAAGGTAAAACAAGTAATCTTTCCCTTACAGAGCAAGCACACACATGCACAAACACCTCAACTGAATGAACCAAGAGGGAGACTCAGAAAAAAAGCTGCTGCTTATACAAATTCAATACCTACAAAAGATTACATCACATAACAGCTTAGAAGAGAGAAATGTGCCTTTCTGAGTGGTGCCAAGAGAGTACAAATTCTTTGATTTCCCAGTTTATTATCAGTGCTGCACCAAACAGAATTTAAAAATACTTAGAACAGATCAAACGCATACCAAGATATGTGGGAAGTACTGCTGAATTCAATAACTATTTCATTGCAAAACCCTTCCTTTACAGAGCAAAGCAACGTCAGCTTGTTAAGCAAACCTTCACCTGTTCTAACAAACAGCTAGAGATGAGGATCTCTCCTTGGTATAATAAGGAAAAAAATAATAATTTACAGGCAAAGATGGTAATCATCAGTGACTCATCAAAAGTTCAACCATGTCTTCTGATCAGATCTCAATTTCCACTCCAAAAAAATAACAAAACAGAATCTCAGCCCCAAACCTTAACTAGAATCATGTAATTAACTAGAAAATGGAATAGTTTTGGTATCGCTGAGGCCCATCACTTGCAAGAAAGATTTTATTTACACAGCTGTCCTGTGTAGGAGTCCCAAGTAGTCTCTCAGTTCCTTTAATCTTCTTTTAGAAAAAAAATAGAACATCAAGGCTGGCAGCCTTCTTCAGACCTGATCATCAACAGGACCCAAACTGCTGGTGTTAACATACCTATCTCCAGTTGTGTCACTTGTTCCTACTGTGCAGCAACAACCATCCTGTGTTCTCACCTACTGTGTGATTACCTAAGATACACCCTATTAGAGTTACCTTTACAAAACCAATTTCAGCTATATAATCAAGATATTAATGCATGCCCTAGCCTGCACATACCATTTTCCCCTCTACAAATGCCTACGAGAACAAAGGAAAGTTCAGTTCTTGATTTCCTGTATAATTCAGCTTCCTTTTTAAGGCACAGGGTGC